TGCTTCCTGGTATCTAGTGGATGGAGTCCAGGGATGCTACTAAATGCCCTGTAGTACATAGGGCAGCCTGCCCCGATTCATTAATGCCTAGGCTGAGAAACTCGGGTAGCTCTGATAGAGCACTTACGCACTTATCACATGGCTCTCCAGCATGTGGTTCTCTAATTCTCTTCTATTTGATGTGGAATTCCTTTGAAGTATTTAACTATCTCCCCATTGTGTTTTGAATTTATAGAATAGATGCTGGGAGAAACTTTCTTTAGAAACAGAGATTTATTTATTTGAAATGAAGAGTTAGTTCTGTCACTTCTTTCTCCAAATGCCCACGATAGCCAGGGCTGGACTAGGCGGAGTCTTTCATGTGGGTGGCAGCATCCATGACTTCCCAGCTCTATTAGCTGAAAAGTAGATCAAAACCATCAAGTAAGCTGTAAGCCTCAAACCAGGCACACCAAGATGGGATCCCAAGGAGTGATTTAACCCACCCTCCCATAATACTTAGTTCTAGGTGAATCCTTAATGAATGAGTTAATAGGTGAACCAAAGAATGTTAGAATCAGCCATGGCACAACTAGGCCAAGTCAGTCCAACTCTTGATGAATTTGATATGATCATCACTTAATCACTGACTAAAGGAAATATAATATCTGTTCCTTATGGAGTTATGCCGTAAGAGATTGTGTCTAGGGCACTGATGGGATGCCACATGTCAAAGGTGCATTTTGTTTCAAAGTAAGTTTCTGTGACAGAGAGCAAAGGTAGAAGTGGTTTAAAGAATTTTATTACTTTTATCAATTTTTAGAAATTATTTATTCAAGTTAGTTATTAGAGAGACTAACTGCACTGCCATCCACTGGTTCACTCCCCAGTTGTATGCAATGGTCAAAAATGGGCCACAGCCAATGCTGGAAGCCCAGAACTCAATATAGGTCTTCGCTGTGGTTGGCAAGGACCCAATTATGTCAGCCATCTGTCTCCTGGGCCTGCACTAGTGGGAACCTGGAGTCAGGCTTAGTTAGGACATGAGTCCAGGCACTCTAATACAGGATGCCACATTCTTTTTTTTTCCATTTAAAAATTCTAAAGATCTATTTTTTATTGGGAAGGCAGATTTACAGAGAGAAAGAAAGACAGAAAGATCATCTGATTGCTGGTTCACTCCCCAAGTGACTGCAATGGCCAGAGCTGAGCTGATCCAAAGCCAAGAGCTTCTTCAGGTCTCCCAAGTGGGTACATGGTGCCAAGGCTTTGAGCCATCCTTTGTTATTTTCCCAGGCCACAAGCAGGGAGCTAGGTGGGTAGTGGAACAGCTGGGACATGAACAGATACCCATATGAGATCCCGGCACATGCAAGGTGAGGATTTAGCCACTAGGCCATTGTGCTGTGCCCAGGATGCCAACTTTATAAGCAGCATCTTAACTGCTAGGCTAAACACCTGCCTTTTTTAGTAACAGCTTTGAGTTAACCAGGCAGGTGCAGGGCAGTTGGGGGATCTGTTCCATATTTATTCAGGGAGCTTGTTTCCTTTCAAGTTGCCAAGTCATGCTTCATTGTAAGCATTGGTTAGATTAGACTGCCATTCTAAGTTCTGGAGACAAGAAGGTTCTAGAGGGAGATTTTAAAAAAAAGTGGAGAAAGTATACCTACTGTCTAAAGAAAGAGCATAGAACATGTTCATACTCATTCCCATGGCAGCAGTTAATTCATATAGCCAAGGAAAAACAGCAGGGGGGAATGCGGTGTAACAAGGCTGCCATGGGCTTTGCCAGGATTCTGTTACTATATACAAAGGGGAGAATGGATTTTGATGAAAAACTATCACTTTCTGCCACAGTGCCTAAGATAATAATAACCATATACGTGTACATAATTTCAAAAAATGTTAGCACCGAAATAAGCTTTTTATTTCATTCTTCACAAACTTTTTGAAATACCCTAGTATTTGTAGAGTTTTATATTGTTCATCCATTATTCTAGGGTTTAAGCTCTGTTAAACAATTGAAGAAAACTTGTGAAGAATAAAATTTATTGTCTATAACACTGTTTCTCAAACTATTTGTGATTAAGAATCAGGATAGTTTAGTTTTTTCTCTTTTTTGAACATTTGTTTATTTATTTGAGAGGGAGAAACAGAGAGAAAAAGAGAGATGTTCCATTGCTGGTTTACTACACACCAGCCTGGACGGGCTGTAGTGAAGCCAGGCGTCAGGAACTCTGTTTCGGTTTGCTGTCGCGATCGCTGGGATCCAAGTACTTGACACATTATCTGCTCTCTTCCCCAGTACACTAGCAGTAAGCTAGATTGGAGGTGCAACACAGCCAGAACTGGAGCTGCCAATGCCATTATGGCATTTCATGTAACAGTTTAACTATCTTGTGCCATAATGCCTTTTCCAGGATCAGGGTTTTTGTTCATTTTTATGTAATTTGAAGTAGACTAATACTTTCTGAGCAAACAATAAAATTGGAGTTGGCAGTGGTGTAGTACGCGAATCCTCCTGCTGCGTTACTGACATCCAACATGGGTGCTGGTTCTGGTTTTGGCTGTTGCACTTTCAATCCAGCTCATTGCTTATGGTCTAGGGAGGCAGCTAGTAAAATCGTGAATGTTTTCCCTATTTTCTTTAATAGTTTTAGCTTATGGTTCTAAATTTTTTATTTGAGAGGCAGTGTCTTAGCCATGCCAAAATGCCTACCCGTAATGTTATGTTTTAAAGAAATTATGTATTTAAGTAGTTTAACTTTCTATGAAGGTACATAACTTCTGCTTTTATGAAAATAGTTTTATCCAGTGGGACAAGCCACCCTTGTAGTACACAATAATAGCCTTACTATTTTCTTTACATTTTAAAAAAGAGAAGAATCAATTCAATATTAATAGACCTATGCTAGTAGGGGAACATCTTAATTCAAATAGCTTACTGGGCAGCAGGAGGTACTTACTGCATTCTAGTTCACTTAAGGTCTCCCACAATTAGAATAAAAATTATTCATCACCATTGAAGAAATCTTATCAGGTCCCAGAATCTGTTTCCTAACAGCCCTGTGAGATATGAATGTTTTCTTATGTTTTTATAGCTTATATCTGTTCAGTTGGGAAACTGAGGCTCAGAGAAGTAAAGTGATATGTATAAATCTGTCTTTCTTTTTCTTCTCATTTTTTCAGTTGTTTACTTTTATTCGAAAGATAGTTTTATAAAGAGAAGGAGGGATAGAGAAGATCTTCCATCTGCTAGTTCACCCCCAAAGGGCCACAACAGCTAGAGTTGACCGAACCTAAAGCCTGGAGACCCAGAACTTGAGCTATCCTTCACTACTTTCCCCAGGCCATAAGCAGAGAGCTGGATCAGAAGTGGAGCAACTGGAACATAAGCCGGTGACCATGTGGGTTGCCAGCACACAGAATGGAAGATTAGCCTGCTGTTTACCACATCAGTCTCCATTTACTTTTTTCATAAAAAGAGATGCGTTTTCTGCCTTCAGAGAGCTTTTATTAGTTGAGGGAAATTCATAAAAAAGAAATCTAAAAGGACAAATATGCTAAGTATGAAATAATTTCTGCAAATCAAAAGAAGAATACAGACAGACCAAGTGGATATGGAGTACTTCGTTGGAAGCAGATTTTAAACTTAGCTTTGAAAGATGATTATAATTCAAGGTGACAGAGAAATAAAGGGCTGATGCACGCAGAGAAGGGCAATAATAAAGCCAATGTAAATCATTTGGGAAAGAATGTTAATTTAGAGAAGAGAATTTGATATTAACAACAAGAACAATTTCAAAAAGCAGATAGTCAGGATCTTAAATGTCAAACTGAGGACTATAAAATTTTATCTAATGAAAATATATAATAGATAACTAGTACTGAATATTTATTATGCCAGGCACTGTTCTATATATGTGTCATCCATTTCGAAATCCATGCATAGTTTCTTTATAACCTGCATTTTTTCTACTAACATTTTTTAAGACCCTTTGGCTCAAGAATAAAATACTAACTTTGGATCCTCATATTTGGAATAATTTTCATCAGTTTGTCAGCATAATTTCTTCTTTGGGATCATATAATATCTAAATATTACTAGATTTTACCTAAAAAGGATTTCAGGTTTTCTGAAATGTGGGACTACTGCCATAGAATTGTAAATTCAGAAAAATAGCATAATTAAGATCCAATAGAAATACATACTTCATAGCGTCTTTCTACAAAAGCCTCTGCTCTCAGGCAGTTTTTGTGAACCAGTTCTTTAGGTGTTAATCTTTAATTTGGGGAAAGGAGCAGTTGTGATTCATGTTGACTGTCGTCTGTCCTGAAATTATTTTTAGTCTGATTTTAAAAGCTCTTGGAGACATTTTAGATTAGCAAGTGTAAAACAGAGTTAAGTGGGGGTCAGCATGACAGCCTGCTGCCACGTGTGATTCTGACATCTTATATCAGAGCACCTGCTTGAGTCCTTGCTATCTACTTCCAGTCTAACGCTAATGTGTTAGGGAAAGCAGTAGAATATGGCCCAAGTCTTTGGGCCCTAACCATCTACTTGACAGACTTGATGGAGTTCCTGGCTCCTGCCTTTGGCCTATTTCAGTCCCAATTTTACTATGGCTATTTGGGGAGTAAACCAACAGACAGAAGATATTCAATTTCTCTCCCCGCCTCCTTCCTTCCACCCAATCATGGTGACTTTCAAATAAATAAAATATATGTCTAAAAGAAGGAAATAAATGATTATTTATTTTAAACCTTAGACTGGAAAATAGGAAACCTATTCTCTACTCTTCTGTACCACTAACTTAACCCCTCTGACCCTATTTTCATAGCATTTACAAAGTGGAAAAAGTACTCCATGTCTAAAATCCCTTTCAGTTCTGTTTGGTTATAAAGTAAAAACCTTTTCTAGCCAAATCCTTAACTACTATTATATACATTGTAAAGAAACATTTTGCTTTAAATGATTTGAGCTAAATAGTGATTTCTGCATACTTGGTCTTATTTTTCAGAAACTCTGTGAAGGCATATTTAAGGTCCTTGTGAAAGATGTCCCAACAACATGTCAAGTGTCTTGCCTGGAAGTACTTCGCATTCTCTCCAGAGACAAAAAGATTTTAGTTCCTGTAACAACTAAGGAAAATATGCAGATACTGCTGCGACTAGCCAAGCTAACTGAATCGGATGATTCTTTGGAGAAGGTGTCAGAGTTCCCAGTTATTGTGGAGTCATTAAAATGTCTGTGTAACATAGTGTTCAACAGTCAGATGGCACAGCAGCTCAGCCTGGAACTTAATCTTGCTGCAAAGCTCTGTAACCTTTTGAGAAAGTGCAAGGACCGAAAATTTATCAATGACATTAAGTGCTTTGACCTGCGCCTGCTCTTCCTCCTGTCACTTCTGCACACTGACATCAGGTCACAGTTGCGCTACGAGCTCCAGGGACTACCGCTGCTAACCCAGATCTTGGAAAGTGCCTTTAGCATCAAGTGGACCGATGAGTATGAATCGGCCATAGACCATAATGGACCTCCTCTCTCACCTCAGGAGACAGACTGTGCCATTGAGGCCCTCAAAGCTCTGTTCAATGTGACAGTAGACAGTTGGAAGGTGCATAAAGAGGTAAGGTTGAGAAGAATATTTTTATCTACCTAGAGTTTAGTTGGGGTCCATCCATAGAGCTGCCTGCAAGAGAAGAATGCAAGTTGGAAAATGTTCTCCCATTAATTGGTTGTGTGAATCTTATTCTTTCCATTTAGATGGAAATAATTCTTATGATGATATCTATCATAAGAATACAGTGAAGATAAACTGCTGTTTACTAAGATGCCATATATAGATTTCTGAGTTATACATCACATCTTTAACAGTGCCTTTTTTTTTTTCAGGAACAAGGTTTGAATGATGGGTAAGGGTAATGAAACAATGTTGGTGATAAAAGCCATAGACATTTTTTATGTCTGCCAACTTAAAAGTTAAATCAAGTCTGCTGAAATTGGCCAACTGAACTTGATGCCTACTCAGGAAACTAGAAGATGTCGTATTATATCCCTTATCATCTCAGTATGCCAACATGTTCCTTTGTAGTGTTAGGTAGTTGTCAGAAGTACTTGGCTACAACTAGATATCCATGCCTATATACAGCCTAGAAAATAAGCATAATTACAGTGGAGTGTGAGAAAGGTTATTTTAAACCACTTGCCTTATTTCTAGACCAAGTTTCTTTACTGTGGTTTGGACCTTCTAGTATCCCAGAGTGAGGCAGATTTCGTAATTTAATCTTTGTACCCACAAGAACAATATGCAAAACAAAAATTTAGTTTAAGAGAGTCGGTAATTTTATGTGAAACAACCATAAACTCTTTCCATTCTTGTAGAATCATAACATTTTACATTTACTCCCTTTAGCCTAATTCTGGCCAGACTATCTCGCTGCACTACCATAGTGAGAGTATGCAGCCATCTGATTTTAAAGTGCAAATAGGTCTGTATTTTGAAACCAAATATTTAAAGATCAGTTGTAACAGCTGTTTTAGATGGCTGTAGTATGGTTAGTTTTTCCTGGGATTTGGCAAGAAAAGATGTGGAAAGCCTACTTGCTCCATTGATGCTTTGAAACCAAATATTTAGAAGCATTTGAAATGTTATGTCTCTATGCTTATTTGGTACCTTCTGTAGTTATTTTTCTTATACTGTTTGTTTTGGTGTCTTTAAGTTCTCTATTTAGTCACAAGAACTCCCCTGAGGCTGTTGGTTTGTCATTGTTGGGATTCCTGCTATTTAAGTTAGACCCAAAATAGTAGCTCACACCATTCAGATTCCTGACAGAAGGTTTATAGGTCTTGACACGTAATAAAGAGTAAATTGAGATTGGCCCACATTAGTATGCTTCAGTGGTAATGGAGATTGGAAGAAACTTTTGAAAACTCTGAAGTAGAAAATATTCATTCTGTATAATGAAATATTCTCCAAAACACCAGGATCTGCTTAAAAAGGGTCAGTAGACCTGCAGCAGGTACCTCAGAGCTAGCACCTGTTGTAATCGAGGAACTAGGTGTAACAGTTGTTATAAAAGGTGCATAGTTAATGTGACTGGGCTATTACTGAGGTTTTCAGCTATTAAAACAATATGGACAGAGAGGGTCCTTGCCAGCCCATTTAGAAAAGAATATCTTCGGCCTGGTGCGGTAGCCTAGTGGTTAAAGTCCCTGCCTTGTATGTGCTGGGATCCCATAAGGTCACCAGTTCAAATCCCAATTGCCCCGCTTCCCATCTGTCTCCCTGCTTGTGGCCTGGGAGAGCAGTGGAGGATAGCCAAAGCCTTGGGACCTTGCACCCATGTGGGAGACCCGGACAGGCTCTGGGCTCCTGGCTTTGAATTGGTTCAGCTCTGGCTGTTGTGGCCACTCGGGGCACTAGTGAATCAGTGGGTGAAAGATCTTCCTCTCTGTCTCTCCTCCTCTGAATGTCTGGCTTTCCAATAAGAATAATAAAATAAAATTTTTTTTTTTTAAAAAGCACTTATTGAAAAAAAAGGTCTTCATTGTAAGTTTCTAAATTTAACATTTTGATTTAATCAGTCAAAATGTTTTTAGGCAGTTATTAGATATGTTAGCTATTGTGCATTATATTGGTAAATACTAGTCAGCATAATATTTGGATTCATGAAACTTCAGTTTTGTAGTTGAGATTGATGTTAGTAGACAGATATATTGTTCAAACCGTGTTGAGTGATTGGAGAGCAGTGTTGAGCACTGAGAACATTCAGCACAGTCAGGCGGGATTTCCGAAGGTCTCTCTGGAGGTTGGATGCCAAAGAATGGAGGGATGAACGAAACAGAGTACTCACAACTTTCACAGAAAAATAGGGTACAGAGAAACTTGCCACACTAGGATTTCAGTGTCTTCATTATCAGATGAAAGATGTTCTGTTTCAGTTGAACAAGCCCCTGAAGAATTATTAATGCTTTAAGAAACCAGCGAAGGGGTCAGCATTGTGGGGCGGCAGGCTAAGCCGCTGCTTGTGCTACTGCTGTCCGTAGCCAAGCACTGGTTCAAGGTCCCACTGCTCCACTTCCAGTCTAGCTTCTTGCTAATCTGCCTGGGAAAGCAGCAGATGTGAAAAGTACTTGGCCTAAACCACCCATGTAGAGGACCAGGATAGAGTTCCTCACTCTGCTTTACCCTAGGCTAATCTCAGCTGTTTCGCCCAATTGGGGAGTGAACCAATAGATAGAAAATCAGTCTCTCTCTCTTTCTTTCTCATTCAACCTTTCCATTAAGTAAGTTTTTGGCAAGGTGGGACAGCTGAAATAAAGGGATATGGAAAACAGTATACAGGAGAACGGAGGTTTTAAGATAACTAATAGTATCCTCCTTATTAAAATAATACATGTTTGAGGCTTGCACAATGGCTCAATTGGCTAATCCTCTGCCTGCAAATACCAGCATCCCATGTGGGTGCTTGTTTGTGTTCTGGCTGCTCCATTTCTATCTAGCTCTCTGCTTGTGATTTGTAAAACAGAGGACCACAGCCCACAGTTTTAGGACCCTGTATCCATGTGGGAGACCCAGGAGAACCTCCTGACTCCTGGCTTTAGATTGGCTCAGCTCTGGCAGTTGCAGCCATTTGAGGAGTGAACTAACAGGTGGAAGTTCGTTCTCTGTCTCTTCTCCCTGTAAATCTGCGTTTGCATTTAAAAATCTTAGGACAAAAAAAAGAAAAAAAAATACATATTTATTGTAGATGCTCTAGGAAAAGGTGTAAAAAAGCAGTAAGAAATTAGCATATTACCATTTTACCATATTATTATTCAAAATAGATGGCAGTATTTGCATCTAGATGCATCTTTTTTTTTTTTTGAAGATTTATTGTTATTTTGAGAATTGTTGCAGAGAGTGCGTGAGAGACAGATCTTCTTTTTGCTGGTTCACTTCCCAGATAACCACACGGCCAGACCGGGCCAGGCCAAAGTTAGCAGCTTTATCCATATCTTCCAGTTTGGGGTAGGTGGCAAAGGACCCAAATGCTTGAAACATTTTTTATTGCTTTTCCCAGGCCATTGGCAGGGAACTGGATGCAAAATGGTGGCAGCTTTACTTACTATACCACAATGCTGGCCCTGATATATATCTTTTCTAACCATTTTCCATTGTGTAAGAAGCAAAAATATATATAGTGCAAAATGTATAGTCTTGGTTTTTTTCCCCCCAACATTACTGTTTATGGAGTAGCTCTTTTAAACCACAAGGTTCCTAGAAAGGCTGTGGGGGTAACTGGATAGTGCTCTAAAGTCCCCACTCCAACTTCATAAATAGCACCTTTGATTGTTGCTGCCATTGCTGTTGTTTCTCTTTAAAATTGGGTTGTAACTAACATTTATTTCACTTGTAGAATAAAAATGATAACTGCAATCAAAAAGCTTTTTGGTAGTCCCTTCTGACTGCTACTTGTTAGAGTAAGAAATGCTTATGAAAGAATACTCATAAGTTCGAAGAATATCTTGTATATAAAAACAAAAACAATTACAAGTATGCCTTCATAAGGATGCATCAGTCTTAAACAAATGCTGTATGTGGAGGCACTTATTTATTTCCAGTTTCTTGCTATTTTAAACCCTTGGTGAGCTTTCCTGTTTTATAATCCTTGTAGATGTATTTTTGCCAAAGAGTTTTCAAAATTTTAAGTTGTATTTGATACATATTGCCAGATCAGCCTTCAGAAAAGTAGTGCTTCTGATTGCTGTATTCTTTCCAAATCCTGGACATTTAACTTTTAGAAATCTTTGCCTTTTCTACAGTTCAACAGTTACAGAAGATGGAAACATTTGATTTTTGCTATAACTATTAGCAGGTATTTTATGACTGTTGTCACAGTTCCCTAGAAACAAGAAGTTAATGACTAGGTTTTTCTTGAGGTTTAGCAAATGAGCTCCATTTGCTCATTTTCAGGCCTCGGTGTTTAAATTCCTGTCTGCCTGCTGATGTTATCAGCAGATTAATTTGAAGATTTTGTCCTGTGGAGTAAGAAATGTATCTGGCTTTACTTCCACATACAATCAGTTTCTCTCCATTTTTTCCCAGCTCACTCACCCATTCTTAAACAGAAAAGATGTTTTAAAAAGGTCCTGCAATTCCATTAATAGGACTTAAAATCAGTTCTAAAAATGTTGGTTGAAATGGTTTTGTCTTCTTCCTGATTAAACATTTTTTCCAATTCTGTGCTGCTGATGCAGTGCGTGCTTCTACTTGGGACTCCTTATTTACAGTCATCTGCTTGTCCTGTGCTCCAGGGTATCAGTGTAATGTGATAAAAACGTCTCTTTTTAAAAAGGCAGCAGATTTGGTACTCAGTCAAGTGCAAACTGAGAAATCCACCTATCTAAGTGAAAAGGATGTCATCTGAGTCAAAATGAAACAATGAGTGTGCATAGAAGTTAATTGGGACTATCACATTTTGTCAACTGAAGAGGGTGATTCCATTAATGTAGGAATTTTGAAAGAAGTGTGACAAAAAGACAGATTACTAGTTAAGTCAAAGCAAAGCTCCAGAGTGTGCGGTGATTTCTTGGTGAATCATATTTTCAACAGATTTATTGACTGCCCAATCTGTGGCTTGCTCTGTGTTAGGCACATAGAACGGAAGGTCCAACAGCACTCCGCCCTCAAGGCACTATTTGTCTAATGCGGAAAGCAGATGTAAACACAGGTCTATGTACAGCTGTGTCTCAGTTCACTTTCTACTGCTGTTACAGAACACTAGACAATTTGGAAACAGCCAAAATTTGGCCTACACTTTAGAATCAAGGGGCTGTATCTAATGAGAGCCTTTTTGCTGTATATGAATGTGGGAGAAGATAGCACATAGCGAAGGAGTGCATTCACAGGCAGGAGGGGGCTAGAATTGCTGGAAATCTATCCAAACTTGTTCTCTTGATAACAGCAACATTCCATTCCTAAGGGCAGAGCACTTACCACCAAAACAGTTCTTTAAGTTCCCACCTCCCAGAACCTTTACAGTGGCAAGCAGGTCTCAACCTGAGGTTTTTTTTTTTTTTACTTATTATTTATTGCTATTTTATATATGCGCTATATGTTTGGATGTGAAAAAGAATGACCTCAACAATGCATACCAGATTCTTTTTTAAAATTTTCTCTTTAGCATTGTTTACATAGCTGAGAGCTCTGCATGCCCAGGTGGGCCTCTACTTAGGGTGGAAAGTCAGACATGGAAGAAGGTGGGTGGAGCAAATACTTCAGGTTCTTTTTTCTCCTCTGTCCACAGGGGATGAGGGAAGCAGTGGAAGAGGGAAAGGGCCACTCCTTGCTGTCAAACTAAGTCAGCACCCCAGGGAGGAGGGCTGTCCTTTTATGATGCCTTAGACACCCTAATATGGAAAGAAACCACTTGAGTGGTTCTGATAGTTCTGGGAAGTTGTTAGTTCCCTTGCTCCAGGATTGAGGAAATCTTTCCAAGGTCTGTTGGTCAACAAGTCTACTTAAGTGCTTCCACAGACCCGGGAAGATACCTCAAAGCTTGGCCAGGAGAACTGTTCATCCTGTTCTGCTCTCCATCCTCTGATTCCCTGCTGGCCTAGGGGAGCTGACCATCATGTTCTTTGTGTGTATCTGTGCGTGCTGTCCACTGCATAGGCATCAGCAGCTGTGAACACATGCACTCCAAGGTCAGACCACACATCCTGTGGTTTTCCCTATGGCCAGGGTCTGAGGCCAGTGGTCTAGCTGGGGACCCCCCCGAGAAACCTTGCCTGAAGTGACTGGGAACTTAACACTGTGTACCAGCCAGTGCAAGGTCAGGTTCGTTCTGTCACCTGCTCCAGCCAGTGCACATACCAGTGTATGCAAGCTGCACGGTCACTTCTGTCCCAACCCCACATCTCACACAAACTCATGTGCTACCACAGACTTGGTCCTCATGGTGCTCGTACATACCAGCAAGTACCACAGGCTAGTGAGACAACTCCTAATAAACCCCATCAGGCCTGCCCCCAGCCCTGGGTTTTGCGTGTGCTTGCCTCTGCTGTGACCTAGCCCAGACCGGCCTGCATCCCATCAGGTTCTCATGCACACCCATAGGTGCTGTGGCTTAGCTCAGCCTGACCTGCATCAGACCCTGCCCACACATATGCTGAGATGGGCCACTGCCTTGTCCAGTGGGCCCGTGCCTAGTCTCAGTACTCATTCTTGCCTGCGGGAGCAGTGGCCCAGCAGGAAATGCGTAATACCTTGTAATGCTATAATTTTGTCTTGTGCTTTCACTTAGGCATAAGTAGGATAGGCAGACATCTTCAACCAAAAAATGAAAAAAAGTTGAAATTTTTACCGTAGAAACTTAATTAAACCTTTTGTAATTTGCACATATCAGAAAAGAGCAATGATATAGTTGCACAATCTATAAGAAATGAAGGCCTGTTTCAAGCGTTGTAGCATGGTAGGTTAAGTGATCATCTGTGATGATGGCATCCCATATAGGTACCAGTTCAAGTCTCAGCTCCCTCCTAATGCTCTGGGGAAAGCAGTGAAAGATGACAGAAGGGTTTGGGCCCTTGCATTCGTGTGGGAGCCTAAAACGGAGTTTCAGGCTCCTGGCTCAGGCCTGGCTGTCGTGCCCATTTGGGGAATGAGCCAAAGAATAACAGATCTCTCTCTTCTCTCCCTCTTTCTCTGTCTTTCTCTTCCCTACCCCATATTCACTAGAATTCTGCATTTTTCAGTAAATAATGAATCTTTGAAAAAAATGAAATGAGTGCTCTATAAAGAGATAACAAAGAATTTCCTGAGTTTTTTGTCTCTTTTAATATTACTTTTAATTTCTGCTGTCAGAATCATTCCGTTTGCCCACTCATCTTTCCTTCACCCTTTGTTTCTCATTCTCCACTTTTGGAGATCATAACTGAGAGGAGAAATTGTTAATACCTTAAAGGTATTAAAGCTGAATCCTGAAGCAAGTGACTATGCACCGTGTAAGCTGTGCTTATGTAATGTTTTATGAAGAGCAACTACGTGAGGTCTTTCTGGCATCCTGTGAGAAAGAACCACTAACCTCTTAACAAATGAAGATACTTAAGATCAAAGGTTTAAATGACCTATGAAAAATCACACAACAGAATTAACAGTAATAGGAAATAGTGTCAACTTCAACTTTTATTAAATGAAACTTCTTAAACGAAAACACATATCCAAGAAATATTTGTTTTGACATAAACTGATACGAAGTCTAGAAATTAGCCTACGCATATAGTCAGCTGATTATGATACTAGTGACATGGAAGTACAGTGGGGAAAGGAGGGACTTTTTATTTCTTAATATTTGTTTATTTTTACTGGAAAGGCAGAGATATATAAAGTGAAGGAGAGACAATAAGATCTTCTATCTGCTGATTCACTCTTGAAGTGGCTGCAGTGGCAGGAGCAGAGCTGAGCTGATCCAAAGCCAGGTGACAGAAGCCTCCTCCAGGTCTCTCACATGGATACAGGGTCTAAAGGCTTTGGGTCATCCTCCTCTGCTTCCTTAGGCCACAAACAAGGAGCTGGATTGGAAGTGGAGCAGCTGGACACCAGCCAGTGCCCACATGGGATCCTGGTGCTTGAAGGAGAAAATTAGTGAATCAAACCACTGTGCCAGGCTTAAGGAAGGACTTTTTAAATAAATGCTACCAGATCAATTGTATGGCTGTATGAAAAGAAAAAAAAAAGTATGTATGTACAAATGAACTTATTTCTTTCATTTGAGGGACAGAGAGCTCCCATTTGTTGTTCTTTCCTAAAATGCCTGTACCAGCTGGGTTTCACCAAAGCTTGGAATTCAGTAGTTACCACCTGAGTGGCAAGACCCCAACCAAATCCTTGAGCCCTTCTTTGCTGCCTCCCCAGATGCAGGTGAACTAAAAGCTGAATCAGGAGCAGAGCTGAGACAGAATCCTAGCACCCAGATTCTGGGTGTGGGCCTCTCTCGGGTCTCCTTAGCCCCCTCCCCAGGGAAAGCTGTGAGCCTCCCACGGGTCTCCTTGGCCCCCTCCCCAGGGAAAGCTGTGGGCCTCCCATGGGTCTCCTTGGCTCCCTCCCCAGGGAAAGCTGTGGGCCTCCCATGGGTCTCCTTGGCTCCCTCCCCAGGGAAAGCCATGAGCTTCCCTCGGGTCTCCTTGGCCTCTCGCATTTCTCCTCGGCCTCCTCGCTGGGGAAAGCTGTGGAGCACATTGGTGCATGGTGTTTTCTTGAATCCTTGGAGAACCCTGACAAAATCTCATATTGGTGTGGTTCAGAGTAGCGGTGTAGCTTGTCGAAGGTCCTGACTAAAGACTCCTGACTCCAAGTGCAGTGCCACTAAGGCCTTCATTTGCTTCACAGGATCATGTGATGGCATTATGTTTACAATAACATCCTCTATATTGTGAGTAATGAAAGTGCGCTCTAATTGTTTGCCAATTTCATAAGACATCTTCGTAGAAGGACTATATGAATGAATTAAATGGATATAGGATATATATAACATGTGTACAAAATTTCCTTTATATGGACTCTGAACCAATTATATACAAAAACGTTGTCGAACTTTTCAGTAGCTTATAAAATAATTGGAGCATGAAGTATGGCAAATTCATTTTCTATCATAATTGTGTCTAATTTCATATTTTGCCTTTGTTACTTCAAATCTGAATGAAGAGAAATACAGCCTTAATGCAGCTGCCTAAGAAAATGGTAGTGACCCAAGATATTACTAAAAATGAAGAGCTAAACCAGACAGATATTCAAAGCTGAATTTATTTCCTGCTGTTTGCTCCTTCTGACTCCATGTGTCTCCTTCATACCACTGCTAATGATTAAACATTCGAAAGCAGATGATGAAATGTTTGCTGGTAGTTCTGAAAGAACTAGAAGATTAAGATGATGATTAAAATGGAATTGATGGATACATTGCATTTAAGAGTTAACAAATGAGACACCCATTTATTGCTTATGAACTATTGTCACTTTTTATTGAAATGACATCTTATTTCATGAATAATATGAAATAAAAATAATATGAGTTTAAAAAAAAGTGTAAAACAGGCTACTACAATAATTGATAATATTACATCTGTTTAAACTTCAATAAGGGCTGATAAACTGGAACACAAAACCATATAACAAAAGAACTTCTTATGAAAATGAATGCCAGGCTGAGGCAGAGAGGCTGGGTCAGCAGTTACTGGTGTTGATCATGTCTGGAGGCGGTTGTTCATAGGAGATAGTGTATTTTTAGTACTGCCTTTGGAATTCCTTGTAGAAAATCCTGCCATCTATCATGTATGATATAAGAATTATTGTTTTGAGGAGCAAGCATTGTAGTAATGCCCCAGATTTCCTTCATTAAGGCATTCAACTCGCAATTTTTCCTTTTTTTATTTTTAATTTTGTTTTTGTTTATCGTAGAGTGATTCTCATCAGTTCCGTGTCATGGCAGCTGTCCTTCGCCATTGTTTACTAATTGTAGGTCCAACCGAAGACAAAACGGAAGAGCTGCACAGGTGGGTGACCTCCGTACGGATGTCTCAATGAGGAGCACGATGAACGTTGGTTTTTTTATACATCTAATTGTAATTACACACACAGTGAAATAGTAGTTAATTAAGTAGTAGTCATGTAAAGATATTAGGAGAAAACTTTTTTTCAGGATTGATTGATTGATTTGAAAGGCAGCACTAGAAAAAGAGGGTGCGAGGAGCAAGAGAGAGAGAGAGGAAGACTCAGACCTAGCACTCACTGGCTCATTCCCCAAATTGCTGCAGTAGCTAGAGTTCCTGGCTGATCCGAAGCTAGGAGCTAGGAACTACTCTGAGTCTGCCATGTGGGTGCAGGGCCCAAGCGCTTGGCCATCTTTTGTTGCTTTCCCAGTCACATAAGCTGGGAGCTGGATCAGAAGTGGAGTACTCAGGACTTGAACCAGCAGCTTTGGGATCCTAGCATTCCAGGCAAGGGCTTTATTTGCTGCGCCACATTGGGCTTGAGAAAACATGTTGACAAATGGTGAAATAAATTGCCAAGGATTTTTCTGAAGGATGAATTTAATAGCTTAACACAAACCTAATATTTCTCAAACACTGCAAAAACCATACACAAGTGCTAAAATGAGATTTATTAAGGTAATTAGTAATCATTCATTTATGATGCTTTTTTTCTGTAACTGTGTCTTTATTTTAAAAGTTGCTTGGGGGCTTTATTTTAAAAGTTGCTAGTGGCTAAAGTCCTCACCTTGTACATGCTGGGATCACACATGAGTGCCAGTTCATGTCGCAGCGGCCCTGCTTCCCATCCAGCTCCCTGCTTGTGGTCTGGGAAAGCAGTTGAGGACGGCCCAAGGCCTTGGGATCCTGCACCCACTTGGGAGACCTGGAAGAAGCTCCTGGCTCTTGGTTATCAGATTGACTCAGCTCTGGCCATTGCAGCCACTTGGGAAGTGAATCATCGGACGGAAGATCTTCCTCTCTGTCTCTCCTCTCTGTATATCTGACTTTCCAAATAAATAAATAAATAATAAGAAAAAAAAACTTACTTGGATAAGAGTCTGTTAGGTTGAGTGTAAGTATGGAGTATCTCTTAAGAGACAGAGAGAATTCCTTAGTATTCCTCAGAGACTTTCCTAGGAGATTGAGGTTACTGCTGACTTGACAGTTTGTCTGGAATGGCCTTGAATGTCCCTTTAATCAGAATTAAAGTGATTAGTATCATTTTGAGCAGTATGACTGCAGGTTAATCCATTTAAATACAGAGAAAACTGCTCCAACCTCAGAGGACTATTTTAGGAACCCTACTATAATATCTGCTAAAAGCTGCTCCTCTGTATCTGCCTTGAAACAGTTTTTCTGTGTGTGCCTGTGTGTGTAAGGGATGATTTTTTGAAAGGATGTTTTAAAGTGGGCCCAGCATGGTGGCCTAGTGGCTAAAGTCCCCACCTTGCACACGCCGGAGTCCCATATGGGCTCCAGTTCTAATCCCGGCGGTCCCACTTCCCATCCAGCTCCCTCCTGTCCAGGCCTCTGTTGTTGCTGGTGGAACCCAGGTACCTGCTCTGTCATCTGCTGCCTTCCTGGGTACCTTGGCAGGAAGCTGGACGAGACAAGGAATAGCTAGAACTTGAAATGGCCCTATCATGTGATACAAGGGCTTCCCAAGCAGCAGCTTAATAAGCTGCACCACAATGCCTGGTCTCCCAGTTATTTTGTTACAGAAAAATATACTTATGAAATGTACCATTTTAACAAGTGTACATCTACTTTTTAAAAAATGTTTATTTTTATTGGAAAAGTAGATCAGATTTATAGAGAGAAAGAAAGGTAGAAAAATCTTCCATCTCTGATTCAGTTCTCAAATGGCTACAAGCACCAAAGCTGAGCTGATCTGAAGCCAGGATCCAAGAGATTCTTCCAGTCTCCCACTTTGGTGCAACTCCCAAGGCCTTGGGCCATCCTCTGCTGCTTTCCCAGGCTGTAATCAGGAAGCTGGATGGGAAGTGGAATGTGCCCATATGGGATCCAGTGCATGCAAGGTGAGAATTCATCCATTGAGCCAGAAAAAGCAGATTTTATGGAATGAGAAGGGTTTTTCTATTTTTTTAAAGATTGACTTACTGTATTTGGAAAGGGAGATTTATAGAGAGAGGAGGAGGCATAAGGAAAGATTTTCCATCTGTTTGTTCACTCCCCAAATGGCTGCAACAGCCAGAGCTGAACCACTGTGAAGCCAGGAGCCAGGAAGGTCTTCAGGATCTCCCTCTTGGGTGTAGAGTCCCAAGGCTTTGAACCATGCTGCACTGCTTTTCCAGGCCATAAGCGGGAAATGAATGGGAAGCAGAGCAGCTAGGATGCACAGCGGCACCCACAAGGGATCTCAGTGCTTGAAAAGGGAGGATTAGCCAATTGAGCCGTGGCACCAGGTCTGGGTTTTTCTATTTCTACCAAAGATGTCTTTGGGATTTTGATAAAGATTGCATTGAATCTATAGAATGCTTTGAGTGATAGTGGTATCTCAACAATATTAAGTCTTGTTACCACATTTGGAAGATTTTAAGCTGCTTTCTCTAAGTAAATAGCAGTTACCCAGGTGAACTACAACTGAGATAGGTGCTCTGAGGACTCCATGTATGCACCCTGTAAGAACACAGACTGAAGTGCAGAGAAAAAATGTAAATCCTATGAGAAGTTAATAATTCAAACAAGCATAGGATAGAAAAATGCTCCAAGAAAAAATTTTGAGCAGTTTCCCAGTGAGTTAACTGTTGAAGTAATGCTTGCTGATAGTACTCAAAGGATGATCTCAGCATGTTCTGGCAAAATGAGGGAATTCTTTGCACTCATGTTGTGCTGTACCTGTTCTCCATCTTCTTCAGGACTGCTGGACCTTTGCTGAGTCCCCTTTTTCTTACCTCTAGGCCCCCTTACTGATTTACTTTCTTCTCCCTGTATCCTGAAACTGCTTCACCATTTTAACCTCTCTAAATTCACATATCACAGTGTCTTACAGTCTCAAGGCTTCCAAACCCAGATCGCTCAGTCTACCTCTTACACACAGATTTGTAAAAAGATCTTTTTATTTACATTTGAAAGAATTTGAGTGAAAATCTTCCATCTGCTGATTGACTCCCAACATGACCACAATGGTTGGGGTTGCTCAAGTCAGGAGCCAGGAGCTTTTTCCAGGTTTGTCATTTGGGTAGCAGGGGCCCAAGCACTTGATCATCTGCTGCTGGAACCAGCATCAGAAGTGGAGCCAATGCGATGTAAACCCAGGCAGGATGCAGACTTCGCCGGCTGTGGCTTTTACTCACTGTGTAACAGCACTAACCCCTCATCCACTTCCATATGCAAGTTGCTGAGGCCTGAAGGAAAGATTTGCCAGTCCTGACAGATGTGTACATTTTTCCCACTGCATGCAATTATTTTCCTAAAAGAATATCTGCTTGAAATCATTATATATATATATATATATATTTGTGACCTGTGTTTTCCTTTGTCATTTTCTTTTATCCTGTACATATGTTTCTGCCAAACCTTTGCAGATCTCAAGCTTTCCCCACTCCTCGTCCAACCCACTCCACAGCTGTCGCAGATAACATGTTTTTGCCTAGTGGGTATGAATGCTGGTGGTGTTGGCAGTACGGGACACTCATGGCCTGTAAATCTGGAGTTTGGGTTAGGTCTCAAGCCCCTCCCTAAGACCAGGGGAGAGATCATGCTGATGTGTCAGACAGTTTCTAATAATAAATCGGGCCGTATATTCCCACTATGGCAATATATCAATAACAGATTTCTTCTGAATGAGGAAAAACATCTGTCATTGTCTTGTATTTGCTAACTCACAGAATTGAATCAGGCTTTCTCCTCATCCCTGGGTGTCTTCTGCCTTTAACACCCCTCCCCCTGTCACCAAGAAGACATTTATTGACACTGTCCCAACTTGTCCCCTTTTTAGGAGCCCACCATTCCACAATTCATATCGTTGTATTCTCCCCATCTTTCTCTTGCTTAAAATAGTTTATTAGGGCCTTTGCACTTGCTGTGGATGACCTGGAATGCTTTTCCCCAGGCCCTTACAAACTAATTCAGATCAGCACACATACAGCCACTACCTGCTTGTTTGCTTGCTTTATTTATTTGTTTATTTTGAAAGGTTTATTCTTTTATTGGAAAGGTACATATACAGAGAGGAGGAGAGACAGCTGATTCACTCCCTATGTGGCTGTTGATGGCTGGAGCGGAGCCAATCTGGCCAAGGAGCCAGGGGCCTCCTCTGGGTCTGCCATGAAGGTGCAGGGTCCAAGGCTTTGGGCCGTCCTTGACTGCTTTCCCAGGTCACAAGCAGAGAGCTGGATGGGAATCAGGGCTTAGAACTGCCCCCTCTTCCCCTGGCCCAGCACGATGGCGGAGCAGTGGTTAAGGTCCTCGCCTTGCATGCCCAGGATCCCATATGGATGCCGGTTCTAATTCTGGCAGCCTCACTTCCCATCCAGCTCCCTGCTTGTGGCCTGGGAAAGCAGTCGAGGACGGCCCAAAGCTTTGGGACCCTGCACCCACGTGGGAGACCCGGAAGAGGCTCCTGGCTTCGGATTGGCATAGCATCAGCCGTTGCACTCACTTGGGGAGTGAATCATCGGATGGAAGATCTTCCTCTCTGTCTCTCCTCTTTGTATATCCGCCTTTCCAATAAAAATAAAATAAATCTTTAAAAAAAAAAAAAGAACTGGCCCCCATGTGGGATCCTGTGTGTGCAAGGCAAGGACTTTAGCCACTAGGCCACTGTGCCAGGCCCCACTTGCTTTATTTTTTCATGGTTCTTGTCACTGAGATAATACTGCTGTTTTATTTTTCTTTGTGTTCCATTTTATTCCCTCACTAAATTGCAGACTTAAAGATTTTTTGTTTTGTCCTCCAATAACTCCTCAAAACCTAGAGCAGTTATTCCGAGTAAGTCCCAGTAAGCACTCATTGGATGAATGGCGGTGGCTTTGCTGACCACTTTGTAGGGCAGTTGG